TTTCCATCATATAATGTGAATGAAAAGCAACTTGTTTAGCAAAAATTATTTTTCTTTAAGTGTTTTAACAAATTTTTCAATGCTTTGTTTAGGACCTGATACAGTAACTGTATCAATTGTATTATAACATGCCGAGACGATATCTGATGGATACATTTGTTTACATTCATCCCATGTTAAACCAATAGCAGCCATACCACCTTGAAAATGACGAAAAAGAAATTTTTTATTTGATTAAAAGGAAAAAAAAAGTAGATTATTTACCTGCTGGAAGATTTGCATCTCGAACACATTTACCACGAACATAAGCAGCTAAAATTGTTTCTTCAGCTGTAAAACAACCATCAGCATATTTTCTCATTATTTTTTCTTCATTTTAAAATAAGTTTAATGTTTTTTACCTAATTCTCCAACACTATGTCCAACAATACCATCTTGTTCAACATTCATAGTTTTTAAACAATCAACTAATGCAATTTGTATAGCAGCAATACTAACAAAATTATTAATTGGATGATCAAGATCACGTGGTGTTGATGATAAAATAAGTTGAAATAGATCAATATTATATTTTTTAAGTATAATTGAACTTCTTTCAATTGTTTGACGAAATAATTTTAATTTCATTAAATCGCGTTCCATACGAGACCATTGTGTACCCATACCTGAAAATACAAACCATACTAATCGTCGTTCATTATTACATTTCTAAAAAATAAAAAAAAATAAAAACTTAAAAAAAGAAAACAATTATTTACATTAACTATTGTTGATGATTCTGATGGATTTAATAAAGTAAAACCACGATATGTATGTGTATGTGATGGATGAAATGAATTTTCTGTAATTAATGCTTGTAATTCAATATTATTTTCATATTCTTTTAAATTTTTAAGAATATTTTCACATCCATCCGGTGTACGAGCACAAGCAAATGCAAGACATATTTCATTTCGTGATAAATTTTCATTTTCTTTTCGATTTGAATTTGCTTGAAGTATGGCATGAACATTGGTACCACCAAAACCATATGAATTAATTGCCATTAAATTATTTGGTAGTCTAAAAATAGATATTAAAATCACCGATAATTCTTTATCTAAATCTTACTTTGTTTTTTCTGTTACAACTTTAAGACGGTCATCACAAAGACCTGGTATATCTCTATTTGGTGAATTATAATGTAAATTAGCTTAAAATAAAAATTACAAAAATAATGAAAGAAAACAACATTTGAACATTGTTTTTTTTACCAGGTATATGTCCATTTTGTAAAGCAACAAGTAATTTTGCTAAAGCAGCAACACCTGAAGCTGGTTCTGGATGACCCATATTTGATTTTGTTGAATCTATTAATAATGGTTGATGACGTTTACTACAAAATACTTCTGTAATTCAATTCATTTCTTGTGGATCATCTAATAAAAAAAAACAAAAAAATAAATCTAAATAAATCATTAAAAAAAAATTCTGTTCACCAACTAGCACGTGCTCCTGTTCCATGTGCTTCAACATAACCAACATGATTTGGATCAAGATGAATTTCTTTATAAATATTTTCAAGTAATTTTTTTTTTGCATTTCATTATTTGAAAATGTAATACCATCTTTTTTCCAACCATCGGCATTTGTTTTTGAATGTAACAATGTTGCATATAAACGTTTAGCATCTTGTCGTTTTTGTATAAATATAATAGCAATTGTTTCTGATCGAACATAACCTGTACCATTTGAATCAAATGCACGACATGTACCATCATTTGAAAGCATGTGTAATTTAAGAAATTGTACTGAAGTTTGAGAACGAAAACAAAGATTAACACCACCAACAATGGCAGCATGACATGAATCATTTCGCAATGCATTTAATGCACAATCAAGTGCTAAAAGACTTGATGAACAAGCTGTATCAACAGTATAAGATGATGGTCCTTTAAAATTAAAAAAAAATAACTAAGACGATTAGCAAACATTGATATTGCACAACCAGTCATACTATAATCTTCAAATGTTTGAGGATCGGATGAAAATACATTTTGAGCATCCGAACCATTTGCACCAATAAAAACATCAGTTTTTGTACCTTTTAATTTTATTGGATTTATTCCAGCATTACATATACTTTCATATGTAACTTCAAGTAAAAGACGTAATTGTGGATTCATATTATGTGCTTGTTTTGAAGGAAGATTAAAAAATGCAACATCAAATCGATCAACTTCTTTTAATTTTCCATTACGTGTTGGAAGACCATATTGACCTTGTGGCCAACGACAATCATCAGCTGTAATCATATCAATATCATTATAAAAAAAGATTATAAACAAATTCATCAATGGAATTTGTTTCTGAAAATCGACCACTAACACCAGTTATAACAAAATCGTCATTTTCGTTTGAATATAAATCGTGATAATGATAACCATTACTTTAAATATTATCAGACGTTAACAACAACAACATGCTTAGTTTTGATCTGAAAAAAAATTTAAATAAAAAAAAAACGCAGGAAATGTGTGTCTATATATATGATTAATTTGCTTTTCTTTTACATTCTGCTTAAAGAAGCCCGTTGCTGTCGTGAAGACCAATAAATAAACGAAAAATAAAAAAGGATGAACCTGTTTTCAGCACATATTTTGGATGTTAAAAAATATATAATTCTTTTTCTTTTTGTCTAAAACGTCATTAAGACATACATTTCTCTATTCATTTTTTCGCACTTATCGGTCATTGCAGAGTATAGGTTATCTATGGTCCAATGAAAAAATAAATAAAAGACATGCTTCATCAGTATGTTGTATTCTTTTATGAATAAGACAAATAGAAAAAAGACAAATGATACGTTTGTCGGACAACTAATTTTTTGATTAGGCGTTCCATTGTTTATTCGTTATCTGGCCGTTAGGTACATTTCTAAATAAACAAGAATCTTCGATCTAATTTCAAGGAGTTGTATCTATATATAACCCTTCTCTTCATAATTATATTTATTTACCTGTATTCTCGAATTTACTCTTCTTTTATTATTTGATTCGAAAAATTAAAAAGACGCGAATTCAAATATTTGTTTTTTTTTATATGTTCACATGGAAAATAGGTGTGATAGAGAAAAAAAATACTCAGCAACTATTTGCAAAAAATATAATATCATGAAATAAATAAATAGGTCGATATTTTTTTGTTAATTATTAAAAATAACAACAAAAAAACCAATTTAAAAAAAATTAATCTTATCAACACAATGTATTCAAAAAATCTATTATTTATCACCAGTACACATTCTTTTAGCATCATTGACAAAGCCGAACTATTTTTCAAACTTACCCGTTTAATCAAAGACTTTTGAATCAATAATTCTTTCAATTACATAGACATTTATTCTCGTATTGTCTCTATTATTAAATATATTTTGCATTCGATCTACCTATCTTACCAATTCTAAAAACTTCGAATATTAAACTATTAAATTTACAAACATTATAATTAAATGAAAAATAAATAGAATAATATTTCCTGATCATTCCTACTAGATATAATACACATGATTTTTCTAATATGTTTGGGATACTTGTTCATGACTTTTTGAAAGATGGTCGATACCAAATTCTGGATTCATTGAGTATTAAAAGCAAAAACTAAATTGCTTTTAATTTTTTTTCTAATAGACAAACCATTATTTGTCCAAGTTGATCCATTTTGTTTATTTTTGGATTAGTTCAAATATATATATAAAGTAAAATATATTTACCTAAAAACAATTATTTAATCCCTTACTCAATCCAAAATATACCACAGAAAATATGAAAGCTCTAAATAGTGGATATTAACTTATAATACTGTTTAATGTAAAACTTATTTTGAAATAACTTCGCCTGTTCATGAAATGATCAATGAAAGATTGAACGTATCTTCTATGACTACATTACAGAAATTGTCATTATATTTTATGGTGTTCATAGATCGATCTAGCTGTGAACAGATCATCCAGTAGTTTAGACAAATCTTAATAAGTGATAATGAAAACCATAAATTTTGAGTCTCAACCGAACTTCGACATAATTATCTATCATTTTACCGAGACCTTCGAAATTACCTATATCTCTTATAAACGAAAAAAAATTCTTTCCTCCAATTAAAAAAAACCAACAGCATATCCAATACTTTACTAATAAATGATTTAGATTCAAATACTTCGAACTACTCAATATTTTCATTTGTACGAAAAAATATAATCGAACTCTTTCTTACAACAATACTAAAAATACTCTCTATTTTTTTAATAAGCGATATAACTTACGTCTTGAATGCTTCAACATCTTTATTATAGCCATTTAATTTACTCAAAATAACTAAATTGATATTAATTTTTGATATAGATACTTTTCTCTAAACGTAAAAAAAAATAAAAAATTTCAAGATTCTGATAATAATATACTGGTAATTCACAATCTTCATCAATATCGTTGCACCTGTGTGACTCCAGGTAATCTAATAGAGAAGATAACAGTAAACATAATTCATGTGTCATTTTCCAGAGCATGAAAAACTTATAGATTTCATTATTATTGTCTAAAATACCAAAGGTTGATACACTCCCTTAGGACTATTTAGTCTTCGGTAATATTTTATTGCATTCAACAAGGATGTAGATGTGAGTGTGAGGCGTGGGTCTAGGGTGTGGGTGTGGGTGTGTGGGTGTGGCTGTGGGATGTGGGGGTGTGGGTGAGTGTGTTTCTGTAGTATTAACTCACACCCACACCCACACCCACACCCACACCCACACCCACACCCACACCCCACACCCAC